ATTGTGTGTGTGTGTGTGTGTGTGTGTGTGTGTGTGTGTGTGTGTGTGTGTGTGTGTGTGTGTTAATTTCTTATGCATCTTTTCTTACCCCAATCCCAGTGAAATCAGAGCCACAGGGTAATAAGTACATTTTAAAATGTAGAGGCAAATGAGAAATAAAATTCCTGGCTCCAGTTCCAGAGAAATTCTAGAATGTTTGCTTTTCAGTGAACACATAGAAAATACATAGCTTCGCTCTCACCCCATGCTTCCACACAGACATTAGCAGTCTCCATGTCCCAAGCCTAGGCCTGCTTCATGCCTTCTCTGGCCCCATCCTTCAACACCGTGGCTTCTGAGAAGGGACACTGCTCTACTCCCTCCACACCTGCAGGCCCACACCCCTTCCTTCTTCCAAGACTCTCTTCCCCTGTCAGCATAGGCACCTGGATCCAAGCCTGAGGCAATCAGCAAGCCAGCTAGTCTAGTCTTGAAACTGAGAGGCCTTTGAGGAACTCAGCCCTGATCAGGCTCAATTCTCCAAACCTGTGCCTGTGCTCACTTTAAGCTGTGATACTCCACCTTCCCAGCCATGGTGCACAGTCCTCAGAACATAAGGCATACCCAAACCACAAGCCCAACCCCCAAGGTTCACTTTATAGTACTTGCTCTATATTTCTTAGCAATCCAGCAGCTCCAGAAGGAAGGACTGAGGGTCCCAGGGGCTGCTCCATGAATGTGCATGGAATGGGTAAACAGACCAGTGAGAAATGAATGAGTGACTCTTTCCCATGTGTTTGGCGCTTGGCTAGCATTAGTCCTGCCCTTAAACAGTTGTAGCTACAACATGGAAGCCATAATATTTTTGTTACACAAGGCAAACAAAAGTCATTTCATACTAAAATAAACTGCTTTAAAATCACTTTTCCAGTCTTTGAAGGCCTCTAACAGGAACTACTATGCAAATGCAATGCTCCTGTGATTGGACTGCAGTGGGCATGCCTCTCTTGTGAAGCTATGCTTTGTTACGGTCCAGATGCAATCCTTGCCAAAGTCGCTGGCTTGGGACATGAGCAGAGTTTTCAAATGGGCCTACTCTATCTCCCATTACCTCCCCAGCAACACAGTGTGTGTTAACTATACAAAGTCCCTCTTTGTCCCCAGAATGTAAGACAGAAAGCAAGGATGATGACTCTTGGGTTGGCAGGGACACCAACGCCTCTCTCTCTTTCCAGTGCTGACCCCAGTATCATGGTATTCTCCTCACGCCCCAACCTCAGGTCTTGGCTGCCAGACAACGAGAACGCCACCTGCGCTGGGCTCAGCTAGCATCCAGGGCCAAGTTCAGAGTGACCAAGGAGAGACTGAAGAAAGAGAGCCAGCTGCAGGCAGCCCTGAGGTAGGTGCAGACATCCCTGAGATGGGCACACACAACCCCAAGGTGGATGTAGGGAGCCCCAAGGTGGGCACAGGACAGAATACAATGAGCTTTCTTTGGCTCTACCTTCTTTTTAGAAGGAACAGTAAGAGATCTCAATCTGCACTTGGGAAAATCCTCCCAGATCTCAGCCTGCACCAGAACACATGGGACAGAGACTGGAGGAAGAAAACTGTTCTGTCACCTGCCTGTAACCAGTGGCCCAGAGCGCTGCACCTCAGCTCCATAGGCCATGTAGACTCATGTGCATCACCACACATCACACTGTGTTCAGCACTAGACCTGGCATTCTGCTCCTCCAGCTGGATACACAGGGCAATGAAAATCCAAGAGCAAGGGTTGTACCTCTTCATAGACATTGACTGGGCCCAGGGACTGGGGTTTGAAAATAACTCAACATAGTTTACACAGACATGTTCTGGGGCTCAACATAAACTCTTTTTCAAATTTTTAGATAAAACACGATTCTTAGTAACTGAGATAAACCTCTGAAAATTAGACACCAGCCATGATTTTTCTATCAGTGGTACCCATCCCCCTCCCCATCTCTGGTGGATACTAATGGTAGTTCCTGGAAGAACCTTCTGCAAATACTAGTCAATGCATGTCTCCCAGCTCTGAATTCTAGATTTCAGATTTCCTGAGTCTGTCAAGGATTTAGAAGCTCCCGATATTTTTCCCACTATAGTGTTGCTAAAGTATGTAATGTCACCCCCAATGAATCGTCTTTCTTAAAAATCCTTCATTATCACTTGCAAATGGTCAGCTCCCTTAAGTAAAGAACATATCCCAAAACAAATCCTTTTCCAAAGAAAAGAGTTGTGGCATTACTAGAAAGTCACATTTAAATTCTGGGAAGACAAGGCACTGACAAAGGCTTTAAAACTTGTTCAGTCTCCCCATAAAAGCAGAGTAGTTAAATTACTCCCAACTAAACCACTGAAAACATACATGACAGACTTAAATGACACATCCCCCCACACACTCACACTTAAAAGTCACAGTTACATAGGTACAGTAAGCATTGTGTACTCAGTGCCCTGAGCACCGCACCTCTGCAACAGCAGGACATGAAGGGAACTGGAGGCCACCTGAGCATCTGAGAATGGAGGTGGGGGGTATCAGCAGCTGTAACACATATAATGGAAAGCCAGAGATAGATATTGGGGTTCACACTGAAGATCAGAGAAGCAAAGCATCTGAGCTACCAGAGAGCTCTTACCTCTACCAGGCTGGGATGATACTGACCTCAACATGGCTGGAGACTAATTGCCCAAGACTGAATGCCTGCTCCTATCTTATATACCTCTCTAGTGCTGGGATTAAAGGCATGAGCTCTATTTCTCTTTTAGACTGATTCACTCTCATCTAGCCCTGGCTGGCCTTGAACTCACAGAGATCCATCTTTCTCTATCACCTGAGTCCTGGGATTAAAGGTGTATGCCACCACTTCCCAGCTTCTATGGCTGTGGCTAGCTTTGCATTCTGATCTTCAGTGGCTTTATTAGATCATAAACAATGTATCACCAAAAGGAGCTCCTGATGGGGTCTCTCCGGGGATTGTGCTCCTATACACCCCAGTTCACAGGTGCATGTAAAGGCTGGGTAGCTGATGTGCAGAGTTTGCTGAGCTGAGCAGAGCAAAGCTGAGAAACCCAACTCCCCAGGGTAAAGCCATATGCTGAAAGAGCCTCAGGCAGAGTTCACACCAAGGTGGACACCCAACAGCACAGCTAAGTACTGCCAGTTCAGAAGGAGACAAAGCTAACTCTTTTTAAAGTCTGGGAAAATACCACAAAAATGAAATTTTAAATAATCACAGGCAGTAAGAGATTTTAGCAAAGTAGCCAATAGGAAAATGAAGCATCAAGAGCCCCTGTCCTTTGCATGTTCAGTAAGTCAGATAAAATGCAACACCAGACTGTTTGGCACAGCAAAAAAACATGTGTGTGATGGTGTAACCTTAGTGGGAAATACCTAAAACACACAGGAAAGTTAAGAAACAATCCTGAAAGATTCAAATGTAGACTGAAGCCAGTGGGACACTTGAGTCCCTAGTGGCATCGTGCAGAACACCCGTGCCTTCCTTCAGATTAACTACTCACTGCCAGGTAGGACAGATGAGCAATTGGATGGTTTCCCAACTTTGCCATTGCTGTTGTCCTTGAAAAGAATTGCTTATGGTGTAGGAAAAAGAAAACATGGATTCTAGCTCAAAAATACCAAAGCCCTGTAGTCTTCAACATGAATTAAAAGGCATAAGGATGAAATAATGGAGAACTTTTTTTTAAGGAAAAGTGCTATTTTTTCTAGTTGTGCCCATTTACAAAATAACTAGAGACAGCCTGGCTTCTGGTTTGAGGTCTGTGACAGAAAAGGACACAGAGCTCACATCACTTCTGAACCAGGGAAGCAATTGAAAATGAGCATCCATTGCCTAGGACTTGGCAGCCACTGGAAGAGGCCCATGTCTATCAGAGGGGCAACTTGGCATCAGTTCAAAGGCAGCACTTGTATGAACTGATGTTCCCGAAATATATTTAATGCCATCAGTTTAGAGTTGCACCAAACTAAGAGATACTCAGAAGCCAGTTTTCTTAAATGTTAGGAAAAGAAATTATCCATCCTGCCTTCTCTAATTAACTCTAGGAAGCATGCAGCAGGAGAAAGATGTTCTCTTCAGAGAGATGGTCCAGGGCTCATGAAAGCAAATAGTAGACTTAGAACCTGAACATTTTTGCAACACATTTTAAATAGATTCGTGAATGTAAGCATTGCACACACAAAGAGATGGGAGTCCTCCCTTCCTTTCCTTTTTGTCTTTGGTAGCCTGTAGTCTCTACCAAGATCACAATGAATAATGACAAGAAGAGGTAAGCTGGTAAGCCTACAGCTCAGAGCACCAGTTTGGTCAACAAGTACTTTGCAAAGCAATCATAAGGAAGTGGAGCTATGAATTGGTAGAAACCTGAGCAGAAAAGTGATCAATGAATCTACCATATAACAGACTAAGCAAGGAAAACCATGGCTATCTCAACAGATGCACAAAATGTGCTTGGCAGAATCAAGCATTCATTCATGAAAGAAATAGGAAAAGTTCACAAAGTTGAATTAGGGAAGTTTCCATAAACAAACAACTGGCAAATTTACCCATGAAATGCTCTGAGATCAGAAACACTATGGGGATGACCCTCTCACCATTTCTGCTGAACATCAGGCTGTAAATATGGTGAGATGAGGGTGGGGTTGGAGGGAAGATCGATGATTCAAAAGAAAAACAGCAAACAGCCTACTGGCCAGTGGCAAAAAAGGCACATCCTTCTAAGATAACAATCAATGTTAAAAAAACAGATGGGGGCTGAAGAGGTGGTAGCTCCATCTCTGTACAAACATGAGGGCCTGAGTTTCATACCCAGCACCCATGTGAAAACCAGGCATACACTTGAAACCCCAGCACTGGGGAAGTAGAGACAGGAGAATCCCTGCCTAGCCAGTCTAGCAGAATCGGCGAGCCACAGGCTTCACCTGAAGTTGACTCCTGGCTCTCTCTCACACACACACAGTGCACCTACACACGTGAAAGCCTGTATACATACACTCACACAATATAAAGCAGTTGAAGTCCTGCATGCCTGCAGTGAAGAATACTTGAACTTGAAAGTACAGTGCTGTTTACAATAGCATTGAAGAAATCCAAGTATTCAAATGAAAATTTAAGCAAACATTCAGGAACTGTAAGCCCAAATCCACAAAACTCTGCAGAAAAAAAAAAAAAAAAAAAAAAAAAAAAAAAAAAAAAGAATACACTATGCACATCAACCCACAGAGGGCAGTGCATCCATGTGTTCCGAGTTATCTGCAGATTCATAGCACTTACTATAGGCTATACAAACGGATGTCAACAAACTGGTTCCAAAATAAGTAAGGGGATCAGTGGAACTAGAATAACAAAGTCAATCCTGAAAAAGAATGAAGTTAGAAGGCTGACACTGTGTAATTCTAATATATACTATGTAGCTGCAGAAACTTCTGTGTGTTGTTGGCCTAAACAATAGTCTCAGACCAATGAAACAGCCACAGGAATAGGCCAAATTGGATTTACTGACAAAAACATAAAGACAATTCAATGGGAAAGCTGAATACTGGTAACATAAAAGGAAAACTAACACATTGGGTTGAAATCCCACCTCTAGCTAAGGAGCTATTGGCAATTAATAGATGATGGGAGGAGAGCCAGTTTTTTTGTTTTGTTTTGTTTTGTTTTTTAAGGATGTGGCCTAGGTAGGTTGATCGAATTCCCATGGAAGGCCACACATTCCAGAGTATAAGGGCAGCACAAATTGTATTTGATGGGTTAAACAAAAATAAAGACACAAAGTTGGGTGGGTAGGGGTGGTGGGTGGATATCATAGGATTTGGGTGAAGAAATGAATGAATATGATCAAAGTACACTGTGTGAAGTTCTCCAAGAGCTAATGAAAGCGGGGTGGGGGAGATTCTTTTTAAAAACACAAAGAGTAAATGCAAACTTCCATCTCATGCCTTATAATAATACATCCTAACAGGGCATAGATGCATGCTCCCTAAAACACACTCTGGAGGTAAATAGGTATGTAGACACACAGGGTCTCCAAAGATGCTAATTCTCAAATCTTACTTCCCAGAGACATCTCCATGCACAGCCTCATGCTGCTGCTGCTTTTGTTTATAACATATGGGAGACTCTGCCCAGGTGAATATTCTCTCAATCAAGCTGTCAGGAAGGAATTTACAAGGTAGGAGGTTTGGGGAGCTCTTGCAGATGGGGGGTGGGGGAGTGTTGCACTAGTTCATGGTCACTAACTCATACCCAAAGAGAACTCCAAGCTCTGGGTTACTTTGTTCCAGAAGAGGGAGCCCTATAGATCCTCTACTCACTCCTTCAGTCATTTTACCTGTACAGACTGTGCTTAAAGAAAGGCTTTCATCAAGGCCTGCATATGAAGTCTGGGAAAGGCTGTTTAATTATCCATATTAACAGAAGGCTGGGCTGGTGCTTGGCATCTCATTTGGGGTCAATAGTGAAAGAAATTCTCAGAGCAGGAGGGTCATATCATCTATTTTGCAGAACATCATTGTTCTTCAACCAAAGGTTACAGTCTCAATGTATGATTTGTGGCACCCAATTCCAAAGTGCCACATGCTGTCAAGCTCTCTATCGTGTCTCAAGTGTTCATATGCTTTTTTACTTTTAAATGCAACAGACTTCCAAGTCAACATGACAAGGCAGGGCACACTCTCATGTCATCTGCCTTGTGGATATTTTGGGGTCTTGACACTCCTGAGATTAGGGTGCCCAGAGAGATGAGTGGACCAACTTAGTAGAACATTCCTTTGTCGGGGAATTTTGCTAACCCAGGCAATTTCTCCAAGGCACTTCAGCTCTAGCAATATGAATAATTTCTTGCTTTCTAGTGGCAGGGAGTATAACAACTCCATAAGTTCAGGGGTTTCCTTTCTCTTTCTGTACCCATTTCTGTAGCATTTTTATGAATGTGTTGCCTTGGATTCTCATTCAGTTTTATGTAAATATATTGTCACATTTAGGAACAGGAGTAGATGGTAGTAAAATCCATTTCATCTGTTTGATTGAAGGACATATTTTTAGAGTCTATAGACAGGGGAACACTGATCCCCTGTTAGATGGGGACTCACGAATGTCATTTCCTTTATTTTTATAATTTTACTGCTCTTTAACAAGGTACTTCCTGGCAGTCCCAGTACCTGGACTTGCCATGGCTCAATAATCCCTCCTCTTAGACTGCAGCTTTAGGGAAACTATGTGGTATTTTCTACACCCCATTTGGCAAAGCCACAGTTACCTTCCACTTTGACAACTTATTTCTTCCAATTGAGCATATACTGGGTGACATTTTCTGTAGATAGGGAAATCAAAATACTACAAACACTGATTTGGCTAATTTACTTCTGTCTCATATCTCATGATTTCCTTTTTACTCGAAATTTCTCATATGCCTCAATTCAGAAATATTCCAGCTGAGATAATATCTGCAAGAAAGCTATGGCACTTGGCCTGATATGCTCAGGTGAACTTTTAAGATGTTGATGCAGTTGGGCTTAAACTCTTTATGTTTTCTACAACAAAGAGAAACCTCACTGCTTCTTACAGTTCTGGTCACCAGGCAGGGCTATTTTATATATACTGGTTCAAAAGGAATGTTTAAAGTGGATCCTGTCTGCCTTCTTATCCTCCAGTACTTAATCCTAAAAATCAACAAATCCTGAGGGGCTGTTATTTGTAGCATTCCAGAGAGAGCTGGGGACAGAGCCCAGGAGAAGCAATCCTATGGAATCTGGGAAGGGCTCTCTTGGCTCCCTGTGACAGGCAGTCCTTTAGCTCCAGGCTGCAGTGCCCTCCTCTATAAAGCTCAGAAGATGACAGTCTAGATTTCTGTCTCTAACAGCAACAACATATTACTCTAAAGCAGATTGTGTGACATTTAATCTGTATTTGAAGTGCTTCTGAACTCAAAGCCTTCATGAAATCCCAAGACAACAAAACTAAACCACAAGTAAGGCACCAGTAACAAGAGATGGAGCCAGGCTCCATCCCAGTGTGCTCAGAGATGACTGCTCCTGTCTCTTCTCAATGAACTGCTGCTACAGGTCCATTTGATAGAATCGCTGTAATTAGTACCCACAGGACCAGGACATGCTTGGACCCTTTGGTATACTTCCTACTCTCCCGTGTGTCAGGGAGGAGCAGGAGATGATTCCTGTGGGTGAGGGATGTGTGAGCTCTGGGTCACAACACAGTGCTTCTTTAATGATGTCCCAACAGGGAGCGAATATCAGGGAGTGATGACGTTTCTCTGAATTATGCAAGCTTGGGGTAGGGGTGCAGTTTGGTGATAGATTACAAACTAAACATGGGCAAAGCTGCCTTGGTGTTGATCTCCCAACACCTTCAAAAGTATTGTGGGGAGCTGGAGAGATGATGGCTCAGCCGTCAAGAGTACTGGCTGCTCTTCCTGAGGACTCTGTTCTGTTTCTCACATCCAGATGGCTGCTCACAACTATCTGGAACTCTAGTCCCGGGGGACCCAATGCCCCCTTCTGGCTTCCAAAGGCACATATGTGGTAGACAGACATGCATGCAAGGAAAACTCCCATACATATAAAAATAAACAAAAATTTTAAAGTTTTAAGTATTGTGGGAACTCAGTATGGCTATGTACACTAGTTTGTTTTTAAAAAGATATGGAGCATCCTAAGTGACAGGCATGCAGTCAGCTTGTCTGTCAAATATCCCTCCCTGTCTCCGGCTCTTCCACCTTCTCTTTGTATAGTGCTCTCTCCCAAAGGTGGTAAATCTTTGCAGAGCTTTATTGGTGCCCCATCCTGACTCTGCCCCTTTCCATCCTCCTTCTGGGAAATGTACTGTTACTCCATCGAAGCCTCTAGATACATCAGCAGTTCTCCCACTTGCTCAGAATTTCATGTTTGACCAAATTTCCAGAGGAGTGTGAGATTCAGAACTAGCAGTCGGTAGTTGGCCTACATGGATTAGGTTCCAAACGTGCAAAACATCAGAACAAATACTTTATGGGTAAGAGATGATCTGTACTCAAGAAAAGGGAACGAGAGCACGAGAAGGCTCTATGGTTAAGAGTGCATAGTGCTCTCCAGGAGGACCCAGGTTCGGTTCCTAGCATCCATGTGCAACAGCTCACAGACGCCTGTAGCTCCAGCTGCAGGGGACTCAGTTCTATCATTTGGCCTCTGCAGTTACCTGTGCACACATTACAACATTACACACACACACACACACACACACACACACACACACACACA